GCAAGAAATCGCTTCGACCTTCGCTGCCTAGAGGCATTCACAGTGCCCAGGTGGCGTGAGAGAGTTTCGATGCTGTGCACTGCGCTCGGGACCAAAGGCCCCTCAAGCGTCACCGTGACTTGGCGACCAGGCCATTTGATCTTGGTCATCTCCTGAGCGCTGTGGCCGCTATGGACATGGGTTAAGCAGAAACATTTCCAAGCCTGAGTACTGGGGAGTCTAGTATATTCAAGTATATGCTGTCATGCGCTACCTTTACCCAGCAGATAATTGCTGTTGAGCATCAGATAAATTGGGTGGGCCCACAGCCAGCAGTCCCTGCAGAGCTTGACCAAATTCCGTGGCAGCCACTTCATTCTTGGCGGTGAAGGTCACCACGATACTCATATTCGGAGCGGCGCCAGATTCCACATGGGTCAGGAACAGGGTCACGCTAGACTTGGTTGGCATGACATCCATGGTGGGAGCAATCTGTACGGAAGCGGACAGTGGAATCAGGTCCTCGTCCTTGCCAGCGTCAGGAACTACAGAGTCAAGGACCTGGCTTGCTGCGTTTTCCACCTGCTCCACATCCTGTTTCACTGTCTCCATGTCCGGCTGCACCGGATCGATGTGTTCTGTGTGGCGGCGGCCAAGGGTCACAGCCAAGCAGGCAAAGGCGCAGGCCAAGCGCAACATGGCGGCACTGAACAAAGCTTTGTCACTCAACAAAGATTGGGGGGCTTGAGTTGGCTATGGCGATGGATCACATGAAGAACATTGTTGAATCCAGAATGCCATGCCTGGCCATGCCTGGCCATGCCTAAAAGACCCCATCGCGTTGCATGCCATAAGTGCCGATCTCTAACTCACACATCCGAGATTCAGGGGAATCTAGTTGAATCCAGAATCCAGCTCAATGACTCAATGACTCAACGCAAGAACCCTTAGAAGAACTCCAAGCTTTAGCCGCTTCAGCTAAGCTAGCCATTTTGTCAAATTCCGGTGCCTCGCTGCCTTGCTTAGTTGCAAGATGGAAGGAATCCTGCCTACGCTGGGGGATTTGGCAGTGTGGGTTGCAGGTCCAACACTGAGAAGAAAGCTGTGGACGTGTTCTTCAGAACCTCCACCAAG